ATCTTCCATCAGATTTGTCCCCAACACTGACCGGCCACTGAGGTAGGGGGTTGATGTAGAGGTTTGCAACCCCCACCAGGCCCAGGTCTGGAAATGGGAGGCCTGGAGGTGAGGAGCAGGTGGGCCATGGACCCTCCCTATAGATGTACACCTGGTGCCCAGTGGAGGGAGGGCTGATGTGGGTGCCATGGGCCTTAGGGTGCTATGCAGAGTGCCGGTCTTGGCCATGCTCCTGGGTCCACCCTGCTCCTCACTCACCAGTGCCTTGGTGCCTGGGAGGGTGGCGGGGCGGGGGTGTGAGGAAAGCTCCCGAGAAGGGAAGGGGCTGCATCCGCATGCCCCCGGGCCCTGGCTCCCCGGCGGGCGGGGCCTCTGCAGTGACTGGGCTTGTCCTCTCCTCCCTCCCTCTGGCCAGCTGTGGGCTCCTGCAGGATTAGGGAGAGGAAATTTGGGGTTGGGTTTCTCTCTGAACGAAATCTGCCGTTGCGACTTTTTATCCTGTTATATTTCTATCAGATTGGACGCAGCCCCCCTCTAGCCCTTAATGGCTCTGGCTTTGAGAATTTCCTCCAAAATTACACCACTGCTTCCTGCTCTGCCGTTCCCTGGAGCCTGTCTTTGCAGAGGAGGGGCAGTCCTAGGCCAGCCCTGCACTGATGCCCACGTGGGCCACAGCACCTGGTCTGCCCCGGTGGGGGTGCGTCCGTGCCTGTGCTAGGGAGGGAACTGTGGCCAGCCGCCGTCCTGACGCCCGCACCTGGCACTGTCAGCCATTGTCCACCCAGCCGGAAGTTAGGCTGTGGCCTGGCGGGGTTGGGGGGAGGTGGTCCACACAGTGCCGCCTGCCTTTCTTCTCTCTGTGCCCACTGAGCTCACACCACTGAACGGTAATTGTCACCTGCAGGGTTTTAATGGCCGGCCAGCTGTGTGCAGAGCGCTGTGGGGGCTCAACCCACCTCCTGTGGTGGGTGGGGTCTTCAGGGGGCTGGGTGGGACATGGCGGTGGGAGGAGGATGGCCAGGGGTCCTCCTTCCCGTGTGGGCAGTGCTTCCAGGGGCCAAATGGCCCTGGTGCATGAGGAGACGCCCCTCTCTCCAGTCAAGACTCGTGGAGGCACGGCGCCCACTGCCCTTGCTGGGGTGAGAGCCCACCCCCTCTGCCAGGCAGCACAGCTTGCTTCACTCCTTGTGACCACTCCTTGGAGCTCCGAGGCCAGATGCAGCACCGTCCTCACCCTTAGGGCCCCTGGGTGCCTGGCAGGCCCGAGAGTGGGGCACCCCTGCCCTGCTGCTGCCTCCCTGTCCCTGCCTTATGGCGTCTCTGCCTTGTGCCTCACCCTCCCCATCTTCTGCCATGCAGCTCCTCCCCCACCCTCTCCCTGGGTGTCTCCCTCATCCCCACCCTGCAGCTTCCCAACAGGAGGCTCTGTGGGTGAGCTAAGCCTGTCCTCACTGCCTCAGCCCAGGGAGGGGTGGCCCTGAGCCTGTAAAGTGGGGGCTTCCCAGGGAGCCGGGGTACTTGGCCCAAGGAGGATGGGACCACCAAGGGTGGGAATGGAGGCTCAGGCTGGGGGTGAATTCTGAACCTCTCATGAGGATAGTTGGCCTCCATATTTGGAAGATACTGTTTTGTTTTTAATTATACAAAATTTTCAGACTTTATATTATCATATCAAAAACACAAGACGCCAACACACAGTGGCCGGAAGAAAAGCCAGCGCAGAAAGTTCCAGTGGGCCCGGGCAGGTGCTGGGGCCAGCGCAGAGTCCCGCTGCCGGCGCCTGTCTGTACGTCCATCTGTCCCTCGGCCCCGCTTGCAGCTAGGGCTGGCCTGGGGCATGCTTGTGGCGGGCCTTGCCCAGCTGAGGTCCAAGGTGGGGGCTGTCTGCGGTCACCCCGGGTGTTCACCTCCCCCAGCAGCTTCTGCCTCCTGGCTGCTGCCGGCCACCTCCTAACTGCGAATCGCTGTCTTTCTGTCGCGGTCCTTGCTCTGCAGAGGGGAGGGAGGAGTGTCAGGCCCTGGCAGAGTGCAGCGCCAATCTGCGCCTCTCTGGCCTCCCTGCTGGGTGCCATCTCAGGTGGCCAGCACCGAGGCACCTCCTTCCCGGCTCTCCCCAGCTTCCCTCAAGCGTTTTGGGGAGGGGAGCATACTGCTGCACAGCCGAAATTGTAAAATTAAATTTCCCAGATGTTCAGGCCCCAGGAGCTCGCGCGTGCTGTCTGGAGAGGAAATGGGGATTGGGAAAAGCCGTGCCGTATTTTCTCCCTGCTCACCCTGCTTTTCCGGTGCCACCAAGCACAGCAGGAGCTGTAAATCACAGCTGGCCAGCGTCTCCTGCAGGGGCCCTCATCCCCAGCCCCCACATCTCCTGCCAGCCTCTGCCTTCGTGTCCCGTGGCCCACATCTCGGGCAGCCCTACAGGACCTGGTGTCTTGGTGTGTAGCCTAGGTAGGGGACGGACAGCAGGTGCCCAAGATGGCTTAGGCCAGTGGTGGGCCGCAGGGGCTGAGACCCTGGGGTCCTTCCTCTCTTGCCTTGCAGCCTCTTTCTGAACTCAGCTCTTTTCACTCCACCTTTCAACTTGCTGAAAAGGGAAGCTTGCAGTGGCCTGGTCCAGCTCCCCAGCCTCCCCGCCCTGGGTGGGCCCCTTTGGGCATCCCTAGCTGTTACCCCTCATGCATCTCCCTGGGGGTGACTCCACACCCCACTGGGAGCCGGGGAGAGGAGCCCCAAGAGAAGGCCCCAGCTGCCAGCAGACCTGTGTTACAGGTGTGCCTGCCTGTGCCCTGTTGGGAAGCCCTGCCCGCATGGCCTCGCCGCCTCTGCCTGGCAGGTGTGGGCTGTGGGGCGCGTTGGAGGCCCCCTTGGCGCCCCACGGCCCGTGCTCACCAACTTTCTCTGGTTGCTGAGGCAGAAGGTGCAGATCTGTTTGGGCTGGGTGTTCTCGCCGTCGCGGGCGGGAGGTGGCGGGGGCGGTGGCGGGGGGCTGCCGGCGCGCGCAGCGTGGAAGAAGGCGGGCCCGGAGTGGCAGGGCTGTCCGTCGCCGCAGGCCTCGCCTGCCAGCAGCACGTTGCCCAGGTGCGAGATGTAGCTGGAGGCCAGACGTAGCGTCTCGATCTTGGAGAGCTTGCGGTCGGCGGGCTCGGTGGGGATCAGCGTGCGAAGCGCCGTGAAGGCCGTGTTCACGCTGTTGGTGCGGTCCCGCTCGCGCGCGTTCGCCGTGTGCCGCTGCCGGGGCTCACGGCCTGGCCGGCCCCCCGGCCCCCCGCCCCCGGCCCGTCGGCCCCCCGCCCTCCGCCGGGCGCCCTGGAGGCCGCAGCGCGCCGCGTGCACGCGACAGGGTTTCTCGTCGGAGCCCGAGCTGTCGCTGCCGCGGTCCTCGTCCTCCGACAGCGGGCTCACCTCGGGGTACAGGTAGCGGCCCGGCGGTGCCGGGCGCAGCGTGGCGAAGGACATGGGGCCGGCGGGGGCGCGACGTCAGCTTTGTCGCGCGCTGCTCATGCCGCCTCCTGCGGCCACCGCGGGCCTCGCGGGCCGGCCGGGGCGAGGCGCAGGGTCTCGGCTGCGCCCCGCGGTGGCAGCTGCCGGGCGCCGCGCGCACATGTGCGTCCCGGGCTGGAGCGGGGCCCCGAGCCGCGCCTTTATAGCGGCGTCCCGGCCCCTCCCCCGCGCACGCCCCGCCCCTCCCAGCCTGGAGGCTCCTCGAGCAGCGCCCGCCGCATCCCCTGGCCTTCTGTGGCCACGCTTGGTTGGCGGTTGGGGGGTCTTTGGGGCATCGTTCTGTCTCCGGGGATGCGGAGGAAGCGGGAGGTTGCTTCTGGGCTGTAGTTACTCGGGGCCCCAAGACTGCAGTGCCCCCCTCCCCGGGAGAGGGGAGGAAGGTCAGCGGGACCCACCACCCCGTTTTCTCTCGTGGCACAACTGAGTTAACCCAGCCGCCCTGGCCCTGCTGCCTGACCGCACCCTGTCTGTCTCTGCCTCCCATGTGCGCCAGCGCCTGCTTGTGCCAGGCCGTGTGCAGGGGGCGGGCACAGGCGAGTATTCAGGGGCCTAGAGCTCAGTCTCTGCCTGTCTGTCCTGCACCTGCCTCTCCAGGCTTGGCACAGACTGTGCCTCCTGCTAGGCTCTGGCCAGGTCCCCTGTTCCTGTGCTGTGTGGACCTCTCACCCTGTGGGTCTCCTTCTTGCCCCCTCCTCCTTCCCCTGTTCCTCTCCAGGGCCGCCAGGCCCCTCAGGAAACACACACATACCCCCATTATCCAGTTTGGGGATGGCCCCTTTTCTCCCTGGGGAGGAGAGGGAAGGATCCTCAGCAGGGGACAGGGCCCAAGGGGTCCCTCCTGCGGCAGGGACCCCACAGGCGCCCAGCTGTGCTCTGTCTTGCCTGGGCCCCTCCCCGTGGCTACTGTTGCAGGAAGCAGCCGCCTGGGCAGCAGTCCCCAGGCTGGAAGGAGCGAGGGTGGCGGCTGGCAGGGGCTGCAACCAGGAATGTACGTCCAGGAGCGTGGCTGTTCTGCCTGTGGAGGGGCCGAGGGCAGTTGGTGGGGGGGCCCCCACAGAAAGGTCTTGGCTTCTGCCTCTCTGTGGAATGGGTCAGTTGGGGTCTTCCCTGAGTCCTCATCTTACAGCTGCCCACTTCTGCCTAAGGCCCCTGCCAGGGGAGGGAGCCCGCGGGTGATGAGGTCATCCTTGTCTGTGGCTGCCCAGAGCCCTGGCCAAGGAATCCAGTGAGGGGGGAGCTTTGGGGTTGGCACCACTTCAGTGGAAAATGTGAAGGTGCAGCTCCGGCGCCTCCGAGGGCGGGGGTGGGGGCAGCGTGGCCGCCGTGCCACGTCAGACCCCAGGGCTGGGGAAAGGGCGTAGGTCAGGGCCAGTGACCTCAGGGCACTTGAGGCTGGGCCTGCACTCACCCTGCAACCTCCTCACCTGCTCCCCTGGGCGGCCCGAAGAGGCGCTGGGCCTTGTAGGGTCAGATGCTGACATGGTGACCCCCGGCCACAGGACATCCGGAACACAGTGGGCAACGTGCCCTTGGAGTGGTACGACGACTTCCCCCATGTGGGCTACGACCTGGATGGCAGGCGCATCTACAAGCCCCTGCGGACCCGGGATGAGCTGGACCAGTTCCTGGACAAGATGGACGACCCTGACTACTGGTGAGGGCCGGCGGGCGGGGCCAGCAGCTGGGGGGGCCCGAGGGATGGCGCAGGGCTGGCGGGGTCTGACTGGCGGTCTCCAGGCGCACTGTGCAGGACCCGATGACAGGGCAGGACCTGAGGCTGACGGGTGAGCAGGTGGCCCTGGTGCGGCGGCTGCAGAGCGGCCAGTTTGGGGACATGGGCTTCAACCCCTATGAGGTAGGTGGCAGCGGGTGGCCCTGTTGGGGGGGGGTCCTGGAGGCACGAGCAGGGCCTCAGCCACTCTGGCCCTCACGCCCACATCTTTTCCCCCAGCCGGCTGTCGACTTCTTCAGCGGGGACGTCATGATCCACCCGGTGACCAACCGCCCGGCCGACAAGCGCAGCTTCATCCCCTCCCTGGTGGAGAAGGAGAAGGTGGGGCCCTGTGCCCCTGGGGCTTGGCCTGGGCTGCCCGCCCCATGCTGCTTGTCCTGACCCGGCTGTCTGTGCAGGTCTCTCGCATGGTGCACGCCATCAAGATGGGCTGGATCCAGCCTCGCCGGCCCCAAGACCCCACCCCCAGCTTCTATGACCTGTGGGCCCAGGAGGACCCCAACGCCGTGCTGGGGCGCCACAAGATGCACGTGCCTGCACCCAAGCTGGCCCTGCCAGGCCACGCCGAGTCGTACAACCCACCCCCTGAATACCTTCTCAGCGAGGAGGAGGTGGGCCTGCATCCTGGGGGGTTGGGGCCCTGTCCCCATGCTCCCCTGTGACCCTCCCCACCCGCCTCGGTCTCCACAGCGCTTGGCGTGGGAACAGCAGGAGCCGGGTGAGAGGAAGCTGAGCTTTTTGCCACGCAAATTCCCAAGCCTGCGGGCTGTGCCTGCCTACGGACGCTTCATCCAGGAACGCTTCGAGCGCTGCCTTGACCTGTACCTGTGCCCACGGCAGCGCAAGATGAGGGTGTGTGGGGGCGGCACACTGGGGGACGGCACAGGGGGCAAAGCTGACCTGGTGTTCTCCTGCCAAGATGAGGGTGTGTGGGGCTGGCACATCGGGGGGCAGCACAGGGGGCAAAGCTGACCTGGCGTTCTCCTGCCAAGATGAGGGTGTGTGGGGGTGGCACACCGGGGGACGGCACAGGGGGCAAAGCTGACCTGGCGTTCTCCTGCCAAGATGAGGGTGTGTGGGGGCGGCACACCGGGGGGCAGCACGGGGCAAGGCTGACCTGGCATTCTGCCAAGATGAGGGTGTGTGGGGCTGGCACACTGGGAGGTGGCACAGGGGGCAAAGCTGACCTGGTGCTCTCCTGCTCCAGGTGAATGTAGACCCTGAGGACCTCATCCCCAAGCTGCCTCGGCCGAGGGACCTGCAGCCCTTCCCCACGTGCCAGGCCCTGGTAAGTGGAGACTAGGGGGCTGGGGTTGCGCCCTCTGAGTCTGGCTCCTCACTGCCACCTCCTCCTCCTCAGGTCTACAGGGGCCACAGTGACCTTGTCCGGTGCCTCAGTGTCTCTCCTGGGGGCCAGTGGCTGGTTTCAGGTGGGTCCAAGCCGGGGGCAGCCTTGAGCTGTAGGGGCAGGTGGGATGGCCAGGTGCTGAGAGCTGTCTGTTCTGCATCCAGGCTCTGATGACGGTTCCCTGCGGTTCTGGGAGGTGGCCACTGCCCGCTGTGTGAGGACTGTGCCGGTGGGGGGCGTGGTGAAGAGTGTGGCCTGGAACCCCAGCCCCGCTGTCTGCCTGGTGGCTGCGGCCGTGTAAGTGGAGGCCCTGGGGGCTGGGCAGCCAGGGGTGGCACTGTGCTTAGGGTCTCTGTCTGGGCCTGGCTCACAGGGAGGACTCGGTGCTGCTGCTGAACCCAGCTCTGGGGGACCGGCTGGTGGCGGGCAGCACAGATCAGCTGTTGAGCGCCTTCGTCCCACCTGAGGAGCCCCCCTTGCAGCCAGCCCGATGGCTGGAGGCCTCAGAGGAGGAGCGCCAAGTGGGCCTGCGGCTGCGGGTCTGCCACAGCAAGGTGCGTGGGGTGCGCTGGGGTGAGGCTGCAGTGGGAGGGGCCTGGCTCAGCCAATCAGCCAGCCTTGCCCTCCTGCAGCCAGTGACGCAGGTGACCTGGCACGGGCGTGGGGACTACCTGGCCGTGGTGCTGGCCACCCAAGGCCACACCCAGGTGCTGATTCACCAGCTGAGCCGTCGTCGCAGCCAGAGCCCGTTCCGCCGCAGCCACGGACAGGTGCAGCGAGTGGCCTTCCACCCTGCCCGGCCCTTCTTGTTGGTGGCATCCCAGCGCAGCGTCCGCCTCTACCACCTGCTGCGCCAGGAGCTCACCAAGAAGCTGATGCCCAACTGCAAGTGGGTGTCCAGCCTGGCAGTGCACCCTGCAGGTAAGGGGTTGGGGGGTGTGCACCCTGCAGGTGAGGGAGTGGGGGGCAGTGCACCCCTGCAGGTGAGGGTGCAGGTGAGGGGGTGGAGTGAGGTTGAGGCAGTGTGCTCTGTAGATGAGGGTGCAGGTGAGGTGGGAGGCGGTGCACCCCTGTAGATGAGGGGAGTGCAGGTGAGGTTGGGGGACAGTCGCTCTGTAGATGAGGGGGTGCAGGTGAGGAGTGGGGGTGGCTGTGCCTCCGTGGAGTAAAGGGTGCAGGTGAGGGGTTAGGGGGCAATGCGCTCTGTAGATGAGGAGGTGCAGGTGTGAGTGGGGCGGTGCGCTCTGTAGATGAGGAACAGGTGAGGGGTTGGGGCGGCGCTCTGTAGATGAGGTGCAGGTGAGGTGGGGTGGCGAGAGGAGTGCGCTCTGTGGAGAGTGAGGAGGTGCAGGTGAGGAGTGGGGTGGCAGTGCACTCTGGGTGGAGTGGGTGAGGAGTCGGGGTGGCGTGTGCTCTGTAGATGAGGGGTGCAGGTGAGGGTTGGGGCGGTGCGCTCTGTAGATGAAGGGGGTGCAGGCAAGGGGAGTGGGGTGGCAGTCTTGTCTCTGTAGATGAGGGGAGTGCAGGTGAGGGTTGGGGCGGTGCGCTCTGTAGATGAGGGTGCAGGTGAGGGGTTGGGCGGTGCGCTCTGCTTAGATGAGGGGTGCAGGTGAGGGTTGGGGGCGGTGCGCTCTGTAGATGAGGTGCAGGTGAGGGGTTGGGCGGAGTGCGCTCTGTAGATGAGGGAGTGCAGGTGAGGGTTGGGGCAGTGCTCTATAGATGAGGGGGTGCAGGCGGGGGTTGGGGGTGCGCTCTGTAGATGAGGGGTGCAGGTGAGGGGTTGAAGTGGTGTGCTCTATAGATGAGGGGTGCAGGTGAGGGGTTGGGTGGTGCGCTCTGTAGATGAGGGGTGCAGGTAAGGGGTTAGGGGCAGTGCACTCTGTAGATGAGGGTGCAGGTGAGAGTAGGGGCGGGTGCACCCTGAAATTGCAGGTCGAGAGTGGGAACACCTGCATCACGTGCACTCTGTAGATGAGGGGTGCAGGTGAGGAGTAGGGGGGCGGTGCACCCTGCAGGTGAGAGTGGGAACACCTGCATCACAGCCTTTGGCCCTAGGTGACAACGTCATCTGTGGGAGCTACGACAGCAAGCTGGTGTGGTTTGACCTGGATCTTTCCACCAAGCCATACAGGATGCTGAGGTGAGGAGAGCTGAGGGTGGAGGTGGCCAGCAGAGCCCCTCCCTCCAGCCTGAGCCTGCCTTCAACCTGGTTCCCTTCTCCCAGACACCACAAGAAGGCTCTGCGGGCTGTGGCCTTCCACCCCCGGTACCCACTCTTCGCATCAGGCTCGGACGACGGCAGTGTCATCGTCTGCCATGGCATGGTGTACAAGTGAGTGCTGACCCTGCCTGGCCCCCTCCCCAGGGCAGTAGTGTCTGGCCATGTCCTGAGCCCTCCTCGTCCCCACAGTGACCTTCTGCAGAACCCCCTGCTGGTGCCTGTCAAGGTGCTGAAGGGACACGCACTGACACGAGACCTGGGAGTGCTGGACGTCATCTTCCACCCCACCCAGCCATGGGTCTTCTCCTCGGGGGCAGACGGGACCATCCGCCTCTTCACCTAGCTGTCCCGCCTACGTAAGGCCAGGGCGGTTGTGCTGAAGTCAATAGAGCCTTACCCTGCGCTGCCTGGTGCTCCCACCTTCTTGAATTGGGGTTGCCAACAAAGCCGCCCCCACCACAGCACCGAGCCTTCCCCTCACTCAACTTTGCAAAAACAGTGGGGATAACACACCCAGCCCAGGGCACCCTCTGGCCCATCCTCTAAGAGGCCGCGGCACTGCGTCCTGTCAGTCATTCGCTGGAGCAGATGAGTTTATTGGGCACACAGACTCCCACACCCTGTCTGGCCTCACTGAGGGGCTTCGGTCTGGTCCCTGGCAGGGCCTGTTCTGGGGCCAGGCCCGTCCAGCTGTGTGCCCAGGCTGGGGTCCTCAGGAGGCCCTGTCTTGGAGCTCAGGCACAGGTCTGGGTGCGTACTTGCTGGGGGTGCTGGCTGGAGCCTCAGGCGAGCTTCACCAGGCGGCCCAGGGCCTCAGCAGCCCTGGTCCGCACCTCAGGGGCCGGGTCCTTCAGCAGGATCTGGAGCGCTGGGGGCAGAGGGAGGGGCTGCCTGGGGGGCTGTGACCTCGGCATGCCCAAGCCTGCGCGTGGGCCACGCTCCCCTGACAGCCTCTGCTGGGAGGCTCAGGAGCCAACGGAAAGATAGTTTTTCCTTTTTTAGTGTTTTTTAAGCTCTTTTGGAACAGTTAAGAAGTTTCCGTGAATTACTAGAGACGATGAGGTCACCAGTGACAGGGAAAAAATCCTGAAATCCAGGAAAATCACTTAGTCCCTGCGGGTGCCTACAGGGTCAGCAGGGCCCAGCGGAGGGGCCCCATGGAGGGGGTGCTCACCCGAAATGAGCTGATCCAGGTCCACCTGCGGCTGCTGCCTGGGCTCTGCGTGCAGCACCAGGAACCCTGTGAAGTGGGGGCATCAGGCAGGGCTGCTGGGCGGCCTGGGGGTGGGGCAGGGGGTGCTGCTCACCAGTGAACAGTGGTGCAGCAGCTCGGACGTCCTCCCAGCTGCTCTTGAAGTAGAACAGGCAGGTGGTCAGCAGGCGGCCCAGGAGGTCTGGGAAATGGTGCATCTGGGGAGAGGCCTGGTCAGCGCCGCCTGGCCCTGCCCCATACCTGGCCCCGCCCCACCTGACCCTGCCCCTCACCAGGTGCTTGCAGGTGGTGTTGAGGAACTCCCCGAAGTGCAGGGCCCGTCCCTCCTGCAGGTGTTTCTGGAAAGCGGCTGAGAGGTCTTCACACGCCAGGTTGGGGCCACACATGCGCAGGGCAAACCTGCAGGCCTAAGGGATGCGGCACTGAGGCCCAGTCCAGTTGAGGCCACTCACTCCATTCCACCCACCCTCTGGCTACTCACGCTGGCCACGGCGGCCTGAGGGTCCTGCAGGTGCAGCAGCAGGGGCGCCAGCCCGCCCACCACCTGGTCCAGGAAGACGTCCTCACAGTCTCCGTGGCAGACTTGGTTAAGGTGCCCAAAGAGGCGGATGGATGCTGTCCGGAACTCCATCTTCTCCTGGGAAGGACAGGCAGCATATGGCTCCTCACAGGCTGTGGGTGTCCTTGCCTGACACAGGCCAGGAAACCCCCTGACGGGTGGGGGCTTGATGGGTGGGGACTGCCAGGCCCAGCAAAGCAGCACCCCTGCAGGTCCGTGCTCTCCACGGTCACCTGGCCGCGGTGGGAGAGACGGAGAAGGGTGGGGCTGGGGCTAAAGCTCAGAGCAAGAGGCAGGAAGGGCCGGGGTCTCCTCCCCTCCCTACCCCTCCCCACCCCGCCTACACTGTCGAAGAAAGGCCGGATGCGGATGGCCACGTGCAGCAGCCCCGAGCGCAGGTCCCAGGCCTCCACCAGGTGCACCAGCCTTGCAAGGCCCAGCATGGCCTCCAGGGCCACCGGGCTGTGAGGGTTGTCCCCGTCGTCCAGCCCGCCAATCATGGCTGTGAGGAGCTGGGGGCCGTGGGCTCGCACCTGAGGACACCCTACACTCAGCCTGGGCCCCAGAGTCATTGTCTGCCACCCCACAAGACAGGGTGACCTCCATGCACAGCCCCCCACCCACGCTGCCTGGGCCCCAGAGGGACTGGTGGCCACCCCACCTTGTCAGGGCATGCATAGCCCCCCACCCATGCTGCCTGGGCCCCAGAGGGACTGGTGGCCACCCTACCTTGTCAGGGCAGCCGGAGGCCAGGTTGGCCAGTCCGCGGAGCACCAGCCTTCGCACACTGGCGCATGTGTCCTTCTGGCGAGCTGCCAGGCTCTCCAGCAGTGAGTCTAAGAGCATCAGGTCGTTGGCCACGTTGCTGTTCAGCAGCTGCAGGCAGAGGTTCTGTAACTTCCCCCTCCCCGCTGACCCCAGGGCCCAACCCACCAGTCCAGGCCCAGAACACGCCGGTGTGGCAGACAGAGGTGGTGGACCTACTCCCTGGGTCTCAGATCAGTGGCAACCCTCCCTGTTGGGGCCTGCTCTGTTGCCCACCCTGCTCTCCTGCACGGCCTCGGGCAAGATGTTGGCATCTTTGGCCACAAGGGCCAAGACGACATCGCCAAGGGCACCTGGGGCCCCAGGGACCAGCCCTGTCCAGCTACAGATGGACCCAGCAGGACTTGGGGATACAGGCTGCAGGCAGCCTGGGTCCTCCTCTCACCAGACACAGGGAGTGTCCCTGGGCAGGACTGAGTTCTGGCATGGGGGAGGAGGTGGCTAGCATCCACGTCCCCTCCTCGCAGGCTGCAGTCGAGGGGGCCTTTTAGGGGTAAGAAAAGGGCATCCCAGGCCTGTCCTGAGCAGGAGCCCCACCCTGGTGCCCAGCAACCCTCCCTGGAAGGGCCTACCTCGGCCAGGAAGGCGGTGGTGGTCACCCTCTGGTTCTCATACGCACTGCTGTGTGTGCAAGCCAGCGTCTTCAGCACCAGGGGGAGCCGGGGCCCTGCGTGCTCAGCCATGGCCCTGGGAAAGGGGGCCGCTGAGGGTGCAGGGGCTGTTGCTGTGCTGCACCCTCCCCAGGCACCTTCCACCCTGCACAGCCCTGGTCCACTCCACCACCAGCTACCAGGTTCTGGGAGTTCCCGGTCTCAGAGATGCCTCCCAACTTGCCTCGCCAGGCGTCTGCACGGGTCCCTCCCTACCCCTGCCCAGAGACCAAATAGGCAGGAGCTCAGGCTGCCACTGGCCTGACACACATGGGGCTCCCACCTGATCCCAGTCGCATCCTGGGCCCCAGAGATCTGGTGGAGCCCAGCCAGTGCTGCAGCCACAGTGGGCTGGGCCCGCTCAGCTCACCTGGCCAACCTGGTGGCCCCCTCCTCATGCCCTGCTGAGGTCCTGAGCAGCTCCCAGCCTCCCTCTAGGTCCATGCGCTGTGCCACGTCCTCGCTGCCACTGCGGAGCAGCACGGCCCGCAGGGTGTCCACTGCAGAGCTGCAGGATTGCCAGGGTGCTCAGCTGGTGGGGCACACATGCCCGCCTCCCTTCCCAATGAGCCCGATATCTGCACCCAACGTGTGCTGCCCACCTGGTGCCTAGCCTTATCCCTGCCAGAGCCACCCTCCAGGAAGCAGGCTTTGGAGGGCCCCCATTTTCCCCACCCAAGGCAAGGATGCAGATGTTGGCTTGGAGGTGAGCTAGTAGCAAGGTCAGCCTGTGGCCACCCGGCCACCAGCCTGAGAGCTGGGCACAGGCAAAGCCCTCTGGCCGCACCTGCCTGCCTTTCTGGACACCCAGATGCTGCTGGGCACCCATACCACAGGCACCCTGTCCCTGGGCCTGTTCCTGCCTGGAACTTTGGGCTCTCACACCTGTATCCCAGGAGACTCCATAGCCCTCTGGGAGGTGGGCAGGCCCCTGATCCACTCCCAGTGTTGGCTGAGGGAGGCTGGCTGGCAAGTGAGCAGGAGGATGGTGCCAAGAGGTGGAGGGGCTGCAGGGGTGCTGAAGAGCAGGTGCCGTGGGGTCAACCTGGCCAACTCTCCGCCTCTCCTGACTCCCCAGAGCCCCACCAGGCAAGCACCTTGCCCTCTGGTCTCCCTGGCAGTGGGAGGCAGGCCTAAGACTCAGGCCAGAAACTGGCAGGGAGAGTCTGATGTTGAAGCTAATGCCGGGTCCAGCTTGAGCGTGGCATCGACCATCGGCTCAGATGAGCCCTTCCCGGCTGAGGCTGCCCTACTCCTGGCTGCCAGTGGGTGGGGCATAGTGTGCAACCCAACAGGCAAGGTCGGGGCAGAGGATGCCCGGCACCAGCGTCCCCACCCAGCAGGACCCTCCCTTGCAACTTCACAGCCGCCTGCCACATGCTTTCCGGTGCCCGCTGCACCTCACACTTAGACCCTCGCCGCCTTTGGACCTCTGCCCACAAGGCTTTGTCCTCAGGAGCACCTGGCCCAAAGGCAGACAACCCCTGAGCAGTATGGGCCATGTGGTGACCGCTGGTTGTGGTGGCAGTGCCACTGCCCTGGTCACTGGCCAGGTGTCCCAAAGGCCCCCTGGTGTGCTGGGGTGGGCCTAGCAGGGAGCAAGTGGCCACTCCAAGCTGGGGGCCAGGCCCTGCTCGCCTGGATGGTGTGAGAGGCCGTCATGCAGGGGGGGTCTAGGAGGAGGGTGTGGTGGGCACAGGAGCATGGGACAAGCTTGTTAGAGATCTGGTGATGGGTTCCATGAGGCTTCTGGGCAGTTGGGCACACAGGGCCGGTGATGCCAGCAGGACTGAGGCAGCCTGAGAGCTGGACAGGGGCTGTAGGAGCTGAGAGCCATGGGGGTCTTGGAAGCCCAGGAAGGAGGTGCTGGGGGCCTGCTCCCAGTATACCACTGTCCCCATGGGTGTGCCTGGGTGGTCTGGTGCTGACCAACAGCAGGGCCAGCCCATCACACAGCCCCTGATGAGTGTCCCCAGGCTTCTCTTTCTCAGGGGTTCCCTCCCCAAGGTAGGACATGCTAGAAGGCAGCTCTGGGTGAGACAGGAGTCCCATGGTTCCAGTGTTAGGCCCTGATCTTTGAGCCCAGGTAGCCTGGGTGCCAAGGGGACTTCTAGCCCTGGGAACAGGAGAGCCAGCACTGACCACAGGCAGAGGAGAGAGCCACACCAGTCACTACAGTTCCTGGGAGATGCCCTTGATACATACAGGCTGGACCAGCCGCAGTCAGAGGGAGGACCCACAGGGCCACAGTTCAGCTGGGCCTCATGGTCTGAGCCAGGGCCCAGCTTGAGTGCAGCCCTGCCTCCAGCTCCACACCCTGCTCCAGGCCTTGAGGCTTGCAAGGCGCCATCTGGACCAGGGGCTGCACTCCAGGCTGCAAATGGCGCAGGCGCAGCAATTCACAACCAACTTTGACAAATCTAACGGGAAGCATGTGTTTGGCTCAGAAATGTGTTAGTGATTTAGATGAGGGTGCCTCCCTTGCTTGTGTGCCCAGGACATTTAAGAATGTGGCACCCACAAGGGTCTGACCCACTGGAGGACAGCCTGTAGGCCAGGCTCTGCAGTCGACCCGTGGAGGGGTGCCTGGGGGTGGGCGTGGGGCCTGCAGAGGCACTGACTCGCAGCAGGCCAGGCCCAGGGACTGGTGACTGCCCCGTCCCATTGACATTTTCCACTCAGTTTGCTAGGGGCAGAGCAGCCCTGGCAGCTGGCCCCACTGGTGTTTACGAGCTAGCCTGTGGTGCTGGGGCAGGGGGAGGGGGGTGAAGTGAGGCTGTCCCCCTGGTGTGTCCTGGCCAAGGTGCACACCCAAACCCGGGCACCTGGGTGGGACGGAACCAGAGCCCTCCTGGGCAGGCAGGGCATGGCAGCCCAGCATTCACATGAGCTGGTGGTCCTGGGGTCAGGCCACACAGCCACGCCTGCCCAGGGTGTCAGCTTCCTCTGTGCTATGGCCCCAGGCAGGTGTGTAGGACCTGAAATGCTGTCATGTCGGGCACCTTGGCAGCTCTCACGCGTGGGGCTGTGAGCACATGCCAGAGGCCCCTCTGCTGGGGCAGTTTCAGGGACAAAGCTGGTCCTGTCATGGTTGGCCCCAGCCTATACCCCAAAGACTCCCCACAACTCCACTCCCAAGAGATGGCACCACCCTGATCCTGCCTGAGCTGCCACGCGAAGCCCCCATCACCTGCTTGTGTTCAGCACCGCTGCGCAGACCGCCCGCAAAGGCGAGGAGGGAGGCCTTCACAGCCAGTGTGAGAAGGGTGGCCATGGATGTCACCACTGATGGCTCAGCCCTGCATCTGGGTGAGGCGCCAGCTCCCTGGGAGCAGAGTCACTCCCACGCTCCCCAAGGTTCAGATCTGCCACCCGCCCCCACCATGCCCATGCGTGCACACACATGCCTGTGCTTGCAAATTAGTACTGGGGGTGGGAAGTGGGGACCCAGATACCTGCAGGGTTCCAGGTTCCTGGCGGCTAGGGCTGGACTGGCACCCCTCCTTTCCTGGGTCTGTAGGTTCCGGGGCAGCAGGACACCCACGGTGCAGCTGACACGCAGCAGAAGTGCCACGAACAGCTGGGGGTAGAGCTCTAGCACCGCAGGCCCCGCTGCAGGCGTGGACAGGACCTCGAATAGTGCACAGGTGGCCTGGGGGAGATGTCACCACAGGGCCATGCCTCCCTCCAGGCCACACGAGATCTGAGCCTGCACCCTGTGTGCTCCCATGCATCCCATGGGCGGAGCCCCAGGGAGCTGCAGCACAGGAAGGGCGAGGCACACCACTGCATGGCTTGGCCCTCAGGGGTAGAGGCAGGAGACAGGGACAGAAGGGCAGCCAGCCTTCACAGGACAGACCTCAGGCCATCTGTTCTCAGCTCCTCAGAAGGGAGGAGGAGGGAATTCTCACAGCTGCTTTACTGCTTAAAACATTGCCAAGCTGGGTTTATTTTTTTTCCGCAGGATAAAACATGAAGTGGTCTCCCCTGGGGGCCCACACCTGTGAGGCCTTTACGAGCCTGAGCTCAGAGCTCCCGGCCTGGTGCTGCTGCCAGGTGCCCGTGGGGTGGCGTCCAGGCCACCTCATTGAGAGGCCTCCCCCTGGGCACCCAGGCAAGCGGGGCAGGGACAGAGCGTCAGCGTGGCTCCGAGAGCCCGACTCACCGAGAGAGGCAGCAGCGTGGCCACACGGTCTGGGGTGCGGCCCAGCAGGAAGGCCCGGCTCTCCTTGAATGGGACGTCCCTACTCATCTTCTCCAGCAGCAGTCCCAGGACCTGAGCAGCCAGGCGAGGCTCCACCGCCAGCGCCCGCCACAGCATGGAGGTGTGGCTGAAGCAGGGCAGGAAGAGAGTCACCTTGAGGCCGTGGCTGGTCACAGTGCTGCCAGCACCGGGGCTGGGCGTCCCTGCCCACCGCCACCTGGCTGCCGTGGACCCTGGCTCCACGACGCTCAGACATGGCCACCAGGCTCAGCTACAGCCAGCTGGGAAATGGCCTCTTGGCCTCAGACCTGAGCTCACCCCTTCCTCTGACTCCAGGGGTCTGTAAACAGAGCTGGCAACAAAGGACACAGAAAAATCTGGGCCTGTACACAGAGGGCCCAGGGCAGTGGTGTGGGAGGTCCCTGGGGAACTGCTGGGAGGGAGAACAAATCTTCCCTGGAGGAAGCAGCATCTGGCTCAGGCCTCAGAATGGCACAAGGTCAAAGCGCGCAGCTCCCAAGGAGACCCGGCAGTGCTGCCAAGAACACCCGGACACCGCTGCAGACACATGGTGAGGCAGCTATGCTCAGCGTTTGCAGAAATAAACAACAAACTTTAAATATGATGGGAACTGGAAATTCTAAACAGATACAGCAAATTTAAAAGAAAACCAAACAGCCCTTTTAGAAATGAAACACTAATGTACTCAGTGGACATATTTGGTGCCAGTCTAGATACAGTAGAAGAGAGAAACAGTAAATAGGAAAATAAGGAAATTACTCAGTGAATAGGAAGGTAAAAACATTTCAGATAAATTATTACAGAGAAAGAACAACATGGGAAGGCAGAGGACAGAAGAAGAGACGCAGAAGATGGAATGGGGGCTAACATACATTTGATGGATGTCCCAGAGGCAGAGGAAACAGAATGGCTGACAAGGCTGGGTTTTTCAGAACGGATGAAATATACTGACCTACAGACAGGGAGCCTCGAAGCCGCCTGGCAGAACAAATGAAAAGCAACCCCCACCTGCAAACTGCAGATGAGCCACAAGCAGGAAGTGGCCTCCTCAACAGACGCAATGCTCGGAGACTTCACCTGGCTCCCAAGAGTAAGGACAGAAACCAGAAATAGTGATGCGCTGTCACACACCTGAGCAAACGCACTGAACTAGGACACCGAGCCACAGAAAGAACAGTCACAAGGAATGGCCAAATAAAGACATTCTCAAGTAAACAAAGGCAGGCAGTGTGTCCCTGGTCCTCGTGAAGGGAATTCCAGGAGATGTCCTTCAGGCAGAAGGCAAGCAGCAGAGGGCTGGGCATGAGCGTGGGGAGCAAATGACCTGGAAGGAACGTGGACAAATGCACAGGAGGGCAGGCACACGGCATGCGCCAGCAAGGACGTGGTGGCCATCGCTGAGGCGCCAGGAGGCCACAGACTCAGCCGCGGTGGGCCCCCATGAGGCTGTATATGACAGTCAAGCCAACCTGTGCCCAGGGCAGGGCTGGCAACCTTCTGACCAGGACAGTGGCTCAGGCATTGGGGGCCAGGTGGCCTCTGGCAGCTCATCAAGCTTGCCGCTGTAGTGCAAGAGCAGCCACAGACAGCGTGGAAGTGGATGAGGCGGCTGCTTCCAGAAGCTTTAACTCACGGACACTGGAATCAGAATTTCCTATCATTTTCATGTGTCATGAAATATTCTTTTGGTCTTTTTCTGACCATTTATGGATGCAGAACCCATCCTTAGCTCAGGGGGTGGCAGGGTAGAGACGGCCACAGTGACTCCACTTCTTTTTTTTTTGAGACAGAGTCTTGCTCTGTCACCCAGGCTGGAGTGCAATGGCACGATTTCAGCTCACTGAAACCTTCACCTCCCGGGTTCAAGCAATTCTCCTGCCTTGGCCTCCCAAGTAGCTGGGACTACAGACAGCCTGTTGCCCAGGCTGGAGTGCAATGGCCCAATCATGGTTCACCACAACCTCCGCCTCCTGGGTTCAAACGATTCTTCTGCCTCAGCCTCCCGAGTAGCTGTGATTACAGGCAGGCACCATCACGCCCAGCTAATTTTATTTTTAGTAGAGATGGAGTTTCACCATGTTGGTCAGGCTGGTCGCAAACTCCCAACCTCAGGTGGTCTGCCTCTCAAAGTGTTGGGATTACAGGCGTAAGCCACCGTGCCCGGCCAATTTTTTTTTTTTTTGAGACAGAGTCTCGCTCTGTCGCCCAGGCTGGAGTGCAGTGGCGCAATCTCAGCTCACTGCAAGCTCCGCCTCCCAGGTTCACACCATTCTCCTGCCTCAGCCTCTGGAGTAGCTGGGATTACAGGCACACACTACCTTGCCCGGCTAATTTTTTGTATTTTTAGTAGAGACGGGGTTTCACCATGTTGGCCAGGATGGTTTGATCTCCTGACCTTGTGATCCGCCCACCTGGGCCTCCCAAAGTGCTGGGATTACAGGCGTGAGCCACTGCACCTGGCCATGACCGGCCAATTTTTATATTTTTAGGAGAGACAGGGTTTCACCATGTTGGCCAGGCTGGTAGCAAACTCCTGACCTCAGGTGATCCTCCTGCTTCAGCCTCCCACATTGCTGGGATTACAGGTGTGAGCCACAGTACCCGGCTTCAATTCCACTCTTATACACACACCTGAAAGAGAAATGCATGCCCTGCCCACCAACAGACACTCCCAGGAACATTCAAAGCATCGCCATCCCCAGCAGCCCCAAACCAAAAACAACCTGAATGTCTATCACCTAGAAACAGATACACGGTGCGGCCCACACGGCACCCAACACTGCCCGGCAAGGAGAAAGGATGAGTAACAGCACCGCCGTGCTAAGCAGAGGCCGGGACGACCCAGCACACAGCACAATTGCCAAAACCTCTAGTGGTAGCGGTCAGGTGGCCCTGACCCTCTAGGGGACTGAGGGGCACACAGGGGCCTGCTGGGGACCAGACACCTCCTTTGCCTTGACCTGGAAAGTCCCGCAGGGGCCAGTGGCTCCGTGCTTGCCCTTTGTGTGAGCCACGCCTCCACGGAAAATTAAAACTGACTGATGAGCCAGGCGGTAACCGCGGAGGAAAGACAAGTCAATGCTGACTGTGCCCAAGAGCAACGGTCATGATGACTCGGGCGCCCAGCAGCCCAGCCAGACCCAGACCTCAGCCTACATTCGGGACCCATGCCGGACTTCAGTAAGGACACATGCAGCCACCTTTAGGGCAAACGCTAAAAGAAAAGGAACAGACTGCAGGATTGCAAACTGAGTGGAGAAAGTGAGGTAAGAGGGACACTGTCAATCTGAAAAAGGACAAGAAAGAAGATTTAAAAAAAAAAATGCGTAACAAAGAGGCAAAAGATTTGACAGTGGATTTAAACTCACTCTATCAGTAACAAAATGCAGCTATTTACCATACAAAAGGTTTAAACACACAGAAAGGTCAACAGTACCAGGAAAGAGCAGGGCCACCAGACAAGTGTACCTCTGAGCAGAAGTGCCTGTGGGTCCCCCCTGCCAGGAGGAAGCGGGCATTGCAGCTTGGATGCACTTAATGGGAGGGCCTCAGAGCACATGAAAAAAAGCAAAGCTGACAGGCTAAAGGGCCAGGTGCAAGGAAACCTGCATCCCCACAGCAGCCTCGTGCCCCCACCTGCCAGGGGAAGGGTCACTCTGCCTTGCCCAGCGGAGTCTCCAGGGAGTCACAGGCAGCCAGGTACCCCTGGGCCAGCCTCTGTCCACGACTAAGATGGCAAAGACAGAAAGGGCCAGCAGACCCATGCTCTGGAGGCCTCAGCGAGGACGGGGGACCCCAGAGGGCTGGGGGGTGGTAGACACCCCCTGCCCTTTGCTGGCAGCTGAGAGGTGTGAGTTTGGGAAGACATAGTGATGTATGGCACAGACAGGGTTGTTCTTGGGCTCCTGAGGGGCTCAGATCAGGCATTTCCTGGGGGTCTGCTCACAGGCAGTAGTGGACGCCCTGCAGAGGACAAGGCTTGGGGCAGCTGGAACCAAGATGCAGGGTGAGGGGCAGCCTCCAGTGTCTGCTGGAGCCTGGGGCCGACAGAGCAGCCAGGCAGTTTCGGGCCTTAGAGGAGGGCAGAAAGAGCAGCTTCCCTGTGGCGGTGCTGTGCAAGGCCCACCGGGGCCAGTGAAGATCCCGAGATGCCTAGAGAGGAGCGGTCCCCATGGGTACCTGAGAGACTGGGGCCTGTCTCCATGGCACTTTCTGTCCCACGTGGCCTAGAGCCATGGGAACTCATGCAGAAAGCTGGGGTACAGAGCAGAGGTGCAGAAAGCCAGGGTGCAGAGGCGGGTGGAGGGCTTGGGGAGCAGCATTCCAGAGGAACCCCTAAGCCTGGAGTCTGGACTAGGTACCTGTCCAAGGGCAGGGGGCTGCCCAGGAGGCTGGACACCACGGCCGCACAGTGCTGGGTGGCCAGGAGGTACACGCTGTGCTGGGCAGCCGGCAGGACGTGCTCTCCCTGGGCCTCCTGAAGCTTGGAGCGCAGCACGCTCACAATCTCAGGCACCTGTAGATGGGCAGGACACGGCGGTCAGGCCACGCGTGGGGGACAGCCATGGGCACACCTATGCCAACCCAAGGGGGTGGGGCCATGAGGGAGGCCCCATGAGACGCAGAGCTCTGTACTGCTGGTGCCAGCCTGAGGCAGGACCCAGATCCCCCGTGGCCACGGACAGCCCAGAAGCCAAGGAACTGGAGCCATGACCTGGATTCCTCTTGCAAAGTGGCTAGTGCCCTGGGAGGTAGAGGAAGTGCCGAGGACACACGTGGCCCAGAGGCTGGTGTGGAGCTGGGCAGGCAGCCAACAGAGCCAGTGGCCCCATGCCCTCACAGCATGCCTGCTGGGTCCAATTCTCAGGCTCCCCTGGCAGGCCCACCAGAGGCAGGACCCACACAGCTGCCAACTGCACCCATGCAGAAGTTGGGCTGGGAACCTGGGCGGACAGGGAGGAGGAGACAGATTCCCAGACCGAAGCTGGAGCTGGGCCTGCCATGGAAGGTTGGGACTTGGGGGGCTGTGAGTTTGCCACTGTCCTGCTGCTCCAGAAAGCAGGTGAATGGAACAGGGGCAGGAGGACGCTGGCCCTGGGACCCCCAGGCCCACCACAAATCCAGCAGCAGCATAGCATGTGAGCCTCACTCTGGGGGATGGCCATGTCATGAGGGGGCTCCCTGCCCATGGTGGGTATTGGCCCAGGAGTCTCCTCTCCAACCTCAGCCATGGTGACCCCTACTGCCAAATGCCTGCTGCACAGCTAGAAAATACCACGATCTGGGGTGAAAACAAACAAAGCAATGGGCCATGAGGTCAGGCTTGCCTCGCCCTGGAGGATGGCTGACACACTGTGGGCTCCACCCACCCCAGCGTTCCCGGGCCACGGCTAGGGTCCTCCTTCCTGGCTGTGGCTGAGGGACCCGCCTGGGTAGCTGGAAAGGAGAAAGGGCTGGTGCAAAGCGCAACAGCAGGTCGAGCTGGAGGAGATTCTGACGGCAGAAACTTCCGGGCCGGGCCAGGCCCACACCACTCACGTGGTGAGGCCATGGCACGGTGTGGGGAGACACGGCTGGTGAGGGGTGCAGGAGCCATGCCCAGGGGAAGCTGCACAGGCACAGGCTGGTCCTTCCTGGTCACTGTCGCTCTCAAAGGAGCTGCAGACCTCCTGACGCCGTTTTCATTCCAAGACCTCCTGTGCAGAGCTGAGCGCCCAGCCCCTGCAGGAGCAGCGTGTTCTGATGGCTTGTGTTTCTTTGCCTTTTTCTTCACCTGTCCTAGCCCAGGCGCTTCCCTGACAACACGGCTGCGGGTGCTGCCTGCTGCCTGCCCATTGGTTTCCTCTGCACTCCTGGCTTTTGGCAAGTTTTGACAGTGAGGAGGTGCTAAACTCCAAGCAAGTATTTTTCCACACCAGGTCTTGCTCCTCAGCCCTCCAGGGAGTGACTCTCGAAGACAGGCTTGCTTCAAAGCCAAGACCAACCTGACACCCCGTGATGTTATCTGAGCCGCTGGGCTGTGCCACCTACACTGGCAGCTGACACAGCCTCTCCATTCTCCTGAGTGCTGTGAGGGGCAGGGACCCCCCTGCTGACGCGCAGCCTGGGTGACACCAGCGGGTGCCCAGAGCAACCACTTCCACCACTTTAGCAGTTATGGGTCCACTGGACCGGCCCACCTCCTTCCCATCCATGCTGGCATTTTTTCAGAAATCTGTTGCTTTGGTGACAGCTCTCCAGGTGTTTTGGAACACAGCTGTTCGTGGACATATACTCTGCTAACCAAACATATTTTTCCTCTTTCACTTCACTTTTTGCTTTTATGGATGTCGGCTCTTTTCCTGTGACTTGTCTCACAAGAGGTTTGTCTTGCTGTCTCAGTGGGTTTACTTATCTTCTCTAATATTTCTTTACTTTTGCATATTTATTTCTTCAACAACTCGAACCCACTGGTGCACATGTACACTTGAATCTATGCTTTTTTCGAACTTGAGAAACAGCCCGGGTGCGCTGGGTTGTGGTGGAGGGCTTGCAGGGTGGAGGCAATTTCCACAGTCACCTGTTAGCTGAGAATCCCCGAGTGTGGACCCTCACACCCAGTCCTGAGCAGGCTTCTGCTTCCGCGGACTGCTGGGCAAAATCCATGTGGTCCCAGGATGCGGGGCAGCATTCCAGCTGCCCGCTGTGTGAGGCTCAGCTGCGCCCTACACCTTCCAGGTTATTCTGCCGGTCTCTGGATTGTGGCTCCTCCCTCAATGGTGAGCCCCTGTGCAGGGTCCTCTCCCTTCCTGTCATGCTTGGCCTGGGTCACTGAGACATAATTCAGAGCTCCAGAGCCCACCTACTCACTGTTAAGTGCACAGTTCCAGGATTCCAGTGCACTCAGGATGTACAACCATCACCCCCAAAAGAAACCCGTCACAGCCTGGGCAACATGGCGAAACCCTGTCTCTAAGAAAAATACAAAAAATTAGCTGGGCGTGGTGGTGCACACCGGTAGTCCCAGCTGCTCGGGAGGCTGAGGCTGGAGGATCACCTGAGCCCAGGAGGTCGAGCCTGCAGTAAGCCATGATCACATCACAGCACTTCAGCCTGGGCAACAGAGTAAGACCCTGTCTCTCTCTTTCTCACCACCCCACCCCCCCACACACACATACACACAGCCCATCTCCATCAGCAGTCACTGATTTGCTCCCCAGCCCCTGGTCACCTCTATTCCACTGTCTGTCGCGACGGATTTGCCTGTTCTGGACACTTCATGAAAATGGGCTCATGTGATTCTGGCTTTTAGTGTCTGCTTTTGTTGTTGTTGTTTATATGTTTTTGAGATGGAGTCTTCCTCTGTCCCTCAGGCTGGAGTCCAATGGCGCAATCTCAGCTCACAGCAACCTCCGCCTCCTGGGTTCAAGTGATTCTCCAGCCTCAGCCTCCTGAGTAGCTGGGATTACAGGCTCCTGCCACCATGTCCAGCTAATTTTTTCATTTTTAGTAGAGATGGGGTTTTACTGTGTTGGTCAGGCTGGTCTTGAACACCCGACCTTGTGATCCGTCCACCTCGGCCTCCCAAAGTGCTGGGATTACAGGCGTGAACCACCACGCCTGGGCAGTGTCTGCTGCTTTCACTGAGCACGATGTTTTCAAGGTGCATCTGCCTCACAGCCTGTGTCAGGGCTTCATGCCCCTTTATGACCCAATAATATTCTGTCGTACGGATGGACCACATTTCCTCTACCCATTTGCAAAGTGATGGGCCCCTGGGATGCTTCCCAGATGGCATGAGCAGTGCTGCTGGCTATGTGTCGCTGTGTGCTTCATGCTCTGTTCTTAGGAAGATACCTGGGTGGGACAGCTGGGTCACTTGGCAACTCTGAGTTTGACCTTCCTGAGGTGGCAGCGCCACTTCCACCCCCACCTGTTTGTTTCATGTGGAATTGCCTCTTCTCCTGTCCCCTCCTTGGCCTCCCCCGCACACTGCCTCAACCCTGGGAAGGCTGCCTCCTCCGTCGGACACGCCCGGCCTCAGGAGAGCCTGCTGTTCTCCGTCATGCTCTCTGCGCTCTCTACTTCATGGTCATCTCACACTGAGGGAGGTCGCGTGTCACCCCCTAGGGCCACAGGTTCTGATTCAACGTCAGAGGAACTCAAAGCCCAACAGCATCAGCCTGCCTCAAAGAGGTCCCCCCACCAGGGTCTCAGGGCGGGGAAGAATGCAGAGGTTCGCCATGATAGCTGGGTACATGACACTGGCGGCAGGTGTGCCTGCTTGGCTGTGCTGTAGGCCTGTTCAAAGCCTTAGCCAGGGGTCAGCAATGCCCCTGCCCAGCTGGGCTGTGGCAAGTGATGTGTATGCAAATCTGGGCTGGGAAGAAAATAGCTGGACAGCTCCGCTTTGCAAAAAGCAGCCCTCTCAGAGCCCAGCCACAGCCTCAGTGTGATCCAGCCACTCTACTTCTTGATATGTCCCCAAATGAACTGAAAGTAGGGACTTGAAGAGAAATTACACACCCACATTCAGAAGAATCTGCCCAAGTGTCCATGTACAGACACACTGAAAAGCACAACATGGCACATCCCACACTGAGGCCGACCCCAGCACCCTGGCCGCCACACAACAGCCGCCACCACCAGCCCGAGTCCATCCCACGCTGAGGCCCGACCCCCCAGCACCCGGCGCCACCGCCAGCCCGGTCCATCCCACGCTGAGGCCGGCCCCAGCACCTGGCCGCCACCGCCAGCCCGGTCCATCACGCTGAGGCGATCCCAGCACCCTGGCGCCACCACCAGCCTGGTCCTTCTCTCACCATCTGCACAGAGGTGGCGGGGTACCTCACTACCCCTCAGATCTGGCCTGGGGCCACTGCCCTGCAATAAAACCCAAGCCTTCAAATGACAGCACTGAGCCGCCACCCTCTGGCCCCTTGTTCCTCCCAGGGCCGATGCCCAGCATCTCTACCTCAACCTCTTCCTCCCCTGCCATGCGGCGCACTGGACTTGCCCTTCCAGAAACCACCGTGTGCGGTCCTGTACGAGCCCTCACCAACACTTTCCTTTTCTCCTGCCATTCCTGTTCCTTGCCTCTCCAAGAGCTCTGTGCAGATGTGTAAACCAATGGAGAAACTGTCAGGACACAGAAAGCACCCTACCAGCTGGGCGTGGTGGCTCATACTTATGATCCCAGCACTTTGGGAGGCTGAGGTGGGTGGATCACCTGAGGTGGGAGTTCAAAAGCAGCCTGGCCAACATGGTGAAACTCCGTCTCAACTGAAAATACAAAAATTAGCTGGGCGTGGTGGCACACGCCTGTAATCCCAGTTACTCAGGGGCTGAGGCAGACTTGCTTGAATCCGGGAGGGGCAGAGGTTGCAATGAGCAGAGATCGTGCCACTGCACTCCAGCCTGAGTGACAGAACAACACTTCGTCTAGGGGTTGCGGGAGCGGGGAAGCACTCCTACTAATCAAGAAGAAAAGCACAGGCAAAAGACTGGTACCCTGTCATGACAGAGCCAAGTGCCAGTAAACATATAAACACGTGTTCACCTTCACCCATCTGAGAAACCTGAGGATGAAACTCTAGCATGAAGCCGCTGCAAACATCATTTGAAGAGTGGGAAACACAGCAACGGGCAAGACAGTGGCACCGGAGGCGGCCGGCCTCCTGCGGGAGGAGAGGGCCCCACCCGGGACACTGGCTGGAAGCCTGGGATACACCAGGCCCTGGCCTTCCAAGCCCTTATTGCCTATTGTGCTTGGGCCTATCCCCCGCTGCAGTGTGCCTCAGCTCAAAGGACCTGGACCTGTGACAGCCCCAGCTAGGAACTGCCCAAGTGTTCCACGGGAGACAGACAGATGAACAAAGCGTGACACATTAGCAGCTCCAGTGCAGAAGGGGCACATGTAGTGACAACAGGAGACAACCTCACACACACATGTTCACGCCAAGGGAGCCTGGGACGGGCACCGGCCCACGTATACAACGCGCACGCAAGTCACAGTGGTCTGCGCTGTGGGGCAGTGGTGGTGGCCCAGGAGTGACAACTGGAGCTTGAGGAAGGACGTAGGCGTGGGTAGGATGCTCACTTGTGGAATGCCCGTGCAGCTTTCTGACACCCACACTCTGATACTTCACTTTAATACAGAGAGCTTAAAATTCCGTCGTGCAGAGACTGGGTCCCCGCCATGGGCCTCTCGAGGACTAATGAGCACCCATTCCAGCTGGCCCATGGGAGCCCTCTGGACCCAAAAGGATCTGAGAACAGGGATGTGCATTTCTGCTGTCGCGTCACAGGCATCTGTGCAGAGCGACTGCCTCTGCAGCAGCAACAACTGCACCGAGACTACTGCACAGTGAGCGGCGGTGGGGCTGGGGCGGCCCCAGTTGCAGGAGCAAAGGGAATGGAGAATTAAGACACACGGGGAAGCGTCCCGGCGTGAGTGCCAGACCCTGGAATTCACGGCTGGGCAACCTCTGCCGGGGACCGGGAGCCCTGCGTCCATGTCACGCCAGCAATGCGAGCAGGGCCCAACCAGGCTCGAGACCATTAGATAACTCACCCGCCTTTCCATTTCCTTTTCCCCCCTTATTCTCTCCGCACTTGTTTTTGCCAGATTCTAACCCCGTCTTCAGACACAAGAGAAAAATTTGTCCACAGTCCTGTGGGGAGAGGGCAGAGCAGTGAGGTCACACCCGAGGAGGCCGGGCAGGGTGGTCCAGGCCAGGCCAGGAGCCAGCCTCACTGTTTTCACCCGCAGTGCCACCTCCAAGAGCCCGCCGCCGCCTTGCCTTGCCGCCCACCCCACCACCCTCTCCCACCTTCTCCTGGATCCACCGCCCGGCTGCCCCGCCCTCTCCCGGAGCCACCGCCCTCCCCTCCCGCCCTCTCCCGGAGCCACCGCCCCGCCCTCTCCCGCCCTCTCCCGAGGCTACGCCCCACCTCCCCTCCCCCTTCTCCCGGAGAAGCCGCCCCGCCCCCTCCCGGAGCCACCTCCCGCCACTCTCCCACCTTCTCTGGAGCACCGCCCCGCCCCCTCCCGCCCTCTCCCAGGCCGCCGCCTCCCCCTCCCGCCTTCTCCCGGAGCCGCCGCCCTCCACCCCCTCCCCCTTCTCCCGGAGAAGCCATATCCCATGCCCCCTCCCGGGAGCCACCTCCCCGCCCTCTCCCACCTTCTCCTGGAGCACGCCGCCCCGCCCTCTCCCGCCTTCTCCTGGAGCACGCCGCCCCGCCCTCTCCCGCCTTCTCCCGGAGCCGCCGCCCCGCCCTCTCCCACCTTCTCCCGGAGCCGCCGCCCCGCCCTCTCCCACCTTCTCCTGGAGTACGCCGCCCCGCTCCTGCAGCAGGCAGTTGATCATGACGGTAGCTGCTCGGGAGCAGTTCTTTTCGGGGTCTCCCAGGGCCTCAAACATGGTTAGCAAGAGGCTGATGAGCTGGTCAGGTGGGAGGCGCTTGGCAATAATCTAGGAGGAAAATGATGCCAGAGGTTAAGGAGGGAAGGGGGGGCACCCCCAACGCCACTTCTCCGAGGCATCGAGTCTCAGGGGCTCGCGTTAGGGTGGGAGGCCACGCCCATCTCGCAGCCCCGCCCCAGCCGCCCCGCCCTGTGACTTCAATGAGCTCGCTGCACGGGGGTGGGGTCTCTTTCTCCAGAACCTGTCAGGGCCTGCTGGAGCCTGGGCGGGCTCCTGGAAGGTGGTGCCTGGGCAGCTGCAGGGCTGAGGTCACAGCACCCTCCTCGGGCTCCTTCTGACTAGTGAAGTGGGCTGGGAGCAGCCCTGTGGTGCAGTCGCCCTGGAGCTCTCTACAACACGGGGTCAAGGGCAGATAGGCCTTAGCTCACACCTGTGATCCCAGCACCAGAAAGGGCCCTCGTGACCTACCCCTCCTTCCTTTGTAGGAGACACAGTCTCTGGACCTGGAAGGCCTTTCCTAAGCACCAAATGGAGACAGGCAGTGGTCCAGCTCGGGGACCCACATGAGAGCACGGAGGGAGGGGCAGCTTTCTTATCCCCTTGGAGGGACTTTTTTTCCCCCCTGAAATGCAATACTTTAAATACTCAAGTTTGTGTTCTAATATGCTGAGCCTCGGAGTGGACCTGGCAGGCATGGGTCGTGGGGGGTGAGGGACGCAGTGCCCAGGGCCATCATCCTCCCTTCAGATGGCAGTGGACAAAGCACCTTGACCCGCTGGAACCAAAGGCAGGGCCCGCCCCTGGCCCCTTGGCAAGAGCCCGCTGCACCCTGCAGGCGATGACCCTCGCCCCCCACGTGGCTCTTGGGTAGGCTTTGGGGACAACAACACACACGGCAGCCGCTGGAGATTCTGTTCCAGAAACCTGCATTTTCATGAGAGCAGGCCAGGGTGTCAGTGGCAGGCAGAGAGCGGCTGGGCCTCATGGCACCCCATTCCCTCCTCGGCCTCTGCCAGGTCTCAAGACAAACAGCACCTTCCTCTCGTATGGACTGCACTGCCCCAGCGTAGGCGGGTGTGGGTGATGGGGCCAGTGCAGGGCAGCGCCAGCAACTAATGCAAACACCCAGGCCCTGCCCCGTGCCCACTGGCCATGGGTGGCACTTACAGAGGCTAGGGGAGGCCAGGTGCTGCCTCGGAAGTCCCTGTTAGCCCCAGACAGTGCCAGCCTGTCTTCTGGCCGCGGAGCTCCCAGCTGGTACCTGGCCTATGCTGTGGCAGGTGTGGAAGAGAATGGTGGGGTCAGGGTGCACGAGGCCGTCCTTGAGGCTGAGGAGCCGCTCCGCCACGTCATCGCGGTAGTCCCGGGAGAAGCCTGAGAGGTGGCAGGAACGAGCAGTCCGGCTCAGGCCCTCCTTGGCGATCCCGCAGCCTGGACTCTGCACCTCATCCCTCCCGGCACCCCTGAACGACCAGGGGCCCCCACACTCCTGATGAGGGCTCACCCTCATAGCCGAGCTGGAGGTAGAGCAGGGAGTAGACGCAGTCGACGGCCTCCTGGCGGGTGGCAGGCCACAGGTCTGCGCACCGTGGGGAGAAGAGGCCAACGAGAAGACCCAGGTTGTGGAAGGGCACCAGGGCCTGGAGGAGGAGATGCCTGGGCTATTGGAATGCTAGGGATGAGTGGATACCACCTATGCCACCTGCACCCAGAGGAGGGCTGGAGTGTGGCCAGGAGTGCTGCTGGTGTCCACGAAGCCCTGGGCCCTCACTGTGGCCAACATAGCCCCCAGTGAGTTCCTCCCTCCCCTCCCGCTGCAGCTCTGACCACACCTCGTCTACACCAGGGCCACACAGGCTCCCAGGCTGGGCCCCTACAAGAAGGAAGGCCAGGTCATGCCGACATGGGCACACAGGCGTGTGCAGGCAAACGGACAACTGGGGTGCGGAGGGGGCCCCAAATGGGAGGAGTGCACGGGCTCTGCCAATTTGGGTGAGGGGCAGGACTGTACAAGACCCCCTCACACCCTGACTCGTCCTGGTCCTTCCTTCCAGAGCCTTTCTGCTCTCCTCAGTCCCGCCCCTCCCATGCTCCTACAGTCAAACACCTTCCTTCTACTTCCACACCTCCTCCCCAGCAGATGCACCTGCCCCCTCCCACCACCTGGCTCCCTTCTCAGCCCCTACATGCGAGGCCTTCCTGGGAGGTGCTCCCACCCTGCCCTTGCACAGGATCCTGGGCTCAGATGCTCCTATCAGATGGAAACCTGGTATCTGCTTGGGCGCCGCTGAAACTCCTCATCCCCAAAATCACCACTGATGGGAAAGAATTTCAAGTCAGAAGGGAAAGGCTGGAATGTTAGAGAAAGACTGCAGGTGACCAGCCACTGTTCTTAGGCTAGGCATCCATCACACCATGCACCAAGGTAAGCTTCAGCCAGACCAGGGTTATGTGATGAGCAGGCCATGAAAGCATGAGGTGGGAAGAGCCCTGAACACACAAGATTTGGCCACGTAAAGAATGAAAGTTTTGGGCACGGTCGCTCATGCCTATAATCCCAGCACTTTGGGAGGCTGAGGCAGGCAGATCACTTGAGGTCAGGAGTTCAAGACCAGCCTGGCCAACATGATGAAACTCCGTCTCTACTAAAAATACACAAATTAGCTGGGAGTGGTGGTGGGCGCCTGTAATCCCAGCTACTCGGGAGGCTGGAGCAGGAGAATCGCTTAAACCCAGGAGGCAGAGGTTGCTGTGAGCCAAGATTGCGCCACTGCACTCCAGCCTGGGTGAGAGCAAGAGACTCAGTCTCAAAAAAGAAAGAAAGGAAGGAAAGGAAGGAAAGGAGGGAGGGAGGGAAGGAGGCAGGGACGGAGGGAAAGAAAAGAAAAGAAAAGAAAAAAGGAGAAAGTTAGTTTTGGTGCATTAATAAAAGGCCAGGTGCAGTGGCTCACGTCTGTAACCCCAGCATCTGTAATCCCAGCACTTTGGGAGCCACAGACAGGAGGATCACTTGAGCCCAAGAGTTCAAGATCAGCCTGGGCAATGTAGCAAGACCCCATCTCTACAAAAAAAAAAAAAAAGAAAGAAAATTAATTGGGTGTGGTGGCATGCACTGTAGTCTCAGCTACTCGGGAGGCCAAGGCAGGACGATCACTTGAGTCCAGGACTTCCAGGCTGCAGTGAGCTGTGTTTGTACCATTGCCCTCCAGCCTGGACAACAGAGTGAGACCCTGTCTCAGGGTAAAAAAGAGAGAGAGAAAAGAAAGCCTAGAATAATCCTGATAGATGACAAAAAGATATTTAGCAAAATCTAGTATCTGTTCCTCATAAAAGTTTTCATTAAAACAAACAGATGCTTGTGGAACATGATAAAAAAAAAATATCGTGAACCAATCAAGCACTGCGCTGAACAGTGAAGCCCTGGAGACCAGAGGCGCACATTCCTCCTGGCTAATGGTGGGCCCCTGATGACAACGGACTCGACTCTGAGCAGCCATCCCTGACAACTCCTGGCCCTGACAGGCCCTCAATCCACGTCTCAAGGAAGAGGACTGTGGTCTGAGCGGGGGTGGCGGCCAGAGGAAGTCAGGAAGGCAGCTCACACTCTGGGTCATGAGTGCCACAGGCAGCAGCTTCCGGGTCGGGGACCCAGGTACTCACGCTGACACGCAGCTGCTCCAGGAAGTGGCGCAGCAGGAGGGCACTCAGGCCCAGGGCCCGCGCCCTCTCGTGACCTCTTGGGGACTTGATCCACGGGCTCAGGTGCTGAGGAAGAGGGGGCTTCACACAGGTACTGCTCAGAGGGCAGCCCTGGGAGCAGGAGCCTTGTGCATCGTGGGCCAGCTCAGTGTCCCTGCCAGGCCATCTTTCCCAGGCTACAGGGGGCCAAGCCAGAGACCCAGAGTGGTGCCAGCCTCAGGCCACCATAGCTCCTCTGGCCCTGCCACTCTGTCCTCCAGTCTGGTCACAGACACAACCCAGCCCAAGTGGAGCCGGGGCCAGCTAGGACTGTGGAAGGACAGGGTAGAGGCTGCCCTGGTCCTAGAAGAACACACTGAGCATGGGGGTCAGCCCTACCCTCGCCCACCACAGTGCCACCCTGGTCGCGGCCCCCAGTCAGGAGCCATGGGTACCTGTGGGCCCCTCCATCCCCGTGCCATGCAGTGGTGGGAGAGGACAGGCTCCAGAGGTCCCACCTGGGTCAGGGCCTCCCCATCTGCTTGCTGGCCCAGATGGGAGGGGGTGCACCTGCCTGTTCATAAACCACCCCCAACTGTAGAGAGCACCAAATTGTCCCTAGGGTGCCCCCATGCAGAGAGAGGGCCAGCAGCCAGGTGGAGTGCCCTCTGTACCCCCACCCCATCCCCATGACAGTCCCCCGCACACCTCAATCATGATCTGCAGGCCTTGGGGGGTCATGTTCCGCTGCAGGAGGCTCGTCAGCAGACCCTCAAGGGCGTGCAGTGTCTCCAGATACAGGGACTGGAAGGAGAGCCAGGCCGTGCGGCCCCACCAGTGACTCTGCCGCCTACAGCGGCCTTCCTGCCACTCTCATGGGTGTGAACACAGGCAAGGTTAACATGGGGATACCTTCTGGCAGCCTCCGTCCTCCTCCTTGGGCTCAGGCAGCAGGGCCATGACGCTGTGCAGGCAGCCACGGATCACATCCGCCCGAGCCTGCTCGTCCAGCGCCGGCTCCACAGAGCTGAGAGGCAAGTTAAGGGCCCCAGACAATGATCCTGAGGCTGAGGCCCAGACACCCAGCAACCCAGGCCTGTGTGGGCAGCACAGCCACTGCCATGTTTACTCTGCCCCAGACCACGGCGGCACCTCACGCACACGCACACACATGTAAGCACGCACACACACGGCACACACACATGCGCACGGACGTGCACACGCACGCACACACGCATACACACACGTGCTCACGCATGCACGCGCCCATAGGCGCACGCACACGCGCACACACGCACACACATGCACGCACACACGCACACACAGGCACGCGCACACACATATACATACGCACACATGCAGATGCACGGGCCTGTGCAGAGGCAGGAAAGGATACACCAAGTAAGTGCAGGTGAGCATGGCCTTCTTCCGAATAGGTGTCCTAAGGGAGTCTGGGGGCTCTGCCCTGATGAACTCCTGGGTGAGGCAGGTGCATGACTCAGCCCTTGGAGGAAACCCCAGCCCTCCTCCCTGGTCAAGCTCTGTCCCCCAGCCTAAGTGACAGGCAGGGCCCGAGGAGCAGAGCCCCATCTGTCCCTACATGGCCCCTCCCATGTTCCCAGGCTGTCTTCATGTTATCACCCTCGGCGCCCCCAATCCCCACCTCACCTCAGTCTCCCAGGAACCCGCCTGAGGACCCACCAGGCCATGGCCATGCTCACCATCATCTGTGCCACCAGCTCTGCTTTCCGGGTGAAGTGGAAGGAGCCAGCCTGGGTGCTGCTGCAGATGGCGCGGCTGACCATGCACACACTCTGGACGAGGCACAGCTTCAAGGCTGGGTCCTGCAGGGATGCAGGGCTACAGGAGACGCCCACACCCACCCTCCAGGGCTGAACCCGCACACACCCCCTTTTCCTTCCTCTGAAGCCAGACGTGCTGCACTCTGCTCTCACAGGAGCTCTCCCGTCAGCTCTCTTGCTTATCAAAGTCTGTGTGGAAGAAGCGGGGGGCCACCCAGGGGTTCCCCCGTGTCACACTCCAGAGAAGACAGGCCACAGAGCAGACGCTGTGTGGTGTGACCAGAGGGCCCCCCACAGCAGGAGAAGAGTCCTCCGGGGAGCGCTAAAGGGCTGGGAAAAGAACCTCTGAGAACAGCCCTGCCCTCCCAGTCACCGCAGGAGAACCAGAGGGCCTGTTCTTCAAGGAGGGGCTGACTGTCCCGAGAGAGGGGCTTGTCAGGTTAGTGTCAGGAGGGCCAGAAGGGAAACTTGTTAGTGAGGCTGGGGTGAGGCCTTGGGGGCCAGTGGAGCCTCCACTGCCACTTCCACTGGCTTTGGGCCTGGTCCCCTCTCCTAGGTGGTCACTGGGGTCCAGGGAGGTACAGCTCCCACGAGCACTGGGGAGCAGAGCCAGAGGAGGTTCCAGCTGTCCTGGGATGGGTGGGGCTGGCTGAACTCCCTGGGGGGTGACAGCCCACGGCCCCTCGGAGGCACAGACGCCTCCCTTCTTCCCACTGCCGTCCAGGGCCCAGGCCAGGGCAGGAGCCCTGGTGATGCTCTTGAATGCGCCGTGGGGACCGAGATCAGGAAGCCCCAGCAAGCTCCCCTCCAGCCTCTGCCCACGAAGCTCAACCCGCCCAGAGGAGAGCTAAGAGGGGAGAAGCCAGTCCAGCACTTAATTCCTACACACTGTACCTTGGTTTCTACCTTTACTCCCAGAACCTGAACAACAAAAAGTGAAGTGAGTTAAGATGTGAGTCCCCAGCAGCCCCAGCTCCCCTGGCGTGGCAGGCCCACTGCGATGCCCACCTTGGTGTTGAAGTGCTGGCAGATGTTCCGGAGGATGTCTGACTCCACTTTGGCCAGCACTAGCTCCTGGGGGGCCCGGGCCGCCACGTGCCCGTAGCACAGGATCAGAGCACTCTTCACCTTCTCCACCTCGTTCTCGCTTCGATCCTGAGAGGTCAGAGGAACCAGCGGGGCTTCAGTTAAACAATTACACTCCCCGACAGGAATCCTTGGCCTCAGAAACTCCTGAAGTCCTCCCAGAAGAAGGGCCAGAGCCAGTTAGTGACAGCAGAGGTGTGCCCCAGCCGTGCAGGGCACCACCTGAATCTGGAGAGGGGGAGAGCCTCTTTGAAAGGGGCAGGAGTATAGGCAGCCAGCCAGGCATGGGCCCACTGGGTACCGAGTAGCAGAGGGCTGAGGGTCAAGGTAGCGCGGCCACGTGTGAGAGTCAGGCAGGAGGCAGCCGAGAAGAGCTCGAGGCCCCATCCTTGCTGCACTGCAGATCAGCCTCGATCCACATAGCAAGGGCTGGGAAGCCCTGCGTGCTTGGTCCCGCCCTGAGATGCTGTAATTGGGACAGTTACAGGAGACAGAAAATAGAGGGACCACGGCTGGGATGGGGGCCTGCGGTAGGGGCCCACTCCTTCCTTAAATCAGGCTCAGGCTCCGCCAGCACAGCCGGTGGCTTTGGTGAGAACGCAGAATCTGCCGGCCACCCTCTGCGCCGGCCGCAAGCCCCTCTCATCACCCACGCCTGGCAGAGACACGGCCCTGGCCACAGCTACGTTTGCCTCCGGGAGGCCATTCTGCCTCCCTCCCCACTGGGAGTGCCCACGCACAGGCCCCATCCATGGAAGGAATGCAGGAGCAAAAATTGCTCCAGGGATGCAACCAGCTTCCTGCCCCACTCCAGCCTGCAGGGCACCCCCGAGCCTCAAACTTGTGGATAGACAGCTGTCCCCAGCCCTGCACGGTGTCAGCCTAACCTTAAAAATGTTGAGAATGCCGATGGATTTTCTGAAGACCTCTGACCTCACGAAGTCCTCCAGCTGGGCCAGCGTATCCTCGAGGTGGGAGATGGCACAGATCCCGAAGCAGCAGGCGAGGCCCTGGGGGGCAAGACACTTACCCCAGGCAGGGGAGGGCACACGCTGCCACACACACACACGCACACGGTCACGCGTGGACACAGGGGCACACCCACATGTACACACATGCGCACACTTGCATACACATCAACAGATCGCGCACTCTGTGCATATACGCACACCACACGTGTACGCACACATGCACACACAGGCATGCAGCCTGGCCGGCTGCCTCAGAGAACAGCAGGTGGCCGCCGACCTCCAGCCCTAGGGTGTCTGGGGCTTCTGCAGGGAGAGTGGCCCCACCTCACGTTCTGCCTCCTCCTGGTATCTGGCTGTTTCCAGCAGCTCTTGAAGGTGCTTCCTCACCACCTCCTTACTTGAAGCAGCACCCAGGGTGGTTCCTATGCATTTGTACAGGAAGTTCTGAAACAAAACCAGAGAACATGGCTATGCCTGACTCCTGAGTACAGGGAGACCCAGTGCTGCCATGGGGCTGCCCCTGGGGTGCACCTTCTGCCCACAAGCTGATGAGAACTGCAGGGTGAGTCCGGGGCAACATCTGAGGAATAAGGGGTGGGGCCGGTGGGCTCTCGCACCTCCTGGCCCTCAGCCACCACGAGGAGGCTCTGCCAGGCCACCAGGGCCACGGGAGACAGGGCCCAGACAGCAAGTGACAGACATGAGACCCAGGAACTCAGAGCCCAAGTACCACATCAAGAATGCCAGCAGGTGCCCCACCTTCTCCTGGGGTGTCTCATCATAGCAAGGCAGCTGTCTGCATAGCTCCAGGCTCAGCTGGCAGATCCACGCGTTGTCAGAAACGATGGCCAGGGTGTCTCGCAGGAACTGCAGGCCAAGACACCACTGAGAGGCTGGGAGCCCGACCCCTCACAGGGCTGGCTGGAGCCTGGGCACATCCCTGTGCTGTGGCTGCAGGGGCTGCAGGCCGCCTTCCAGCAGAGGCCGGGGGAGGCAGAGCCAACCCTCAGGAGACAGCCATGCCGCAGTTGGCTCACCAGGCAGGGCGAGAGGAGGACCCTGCGCTTGAGGCTGCAGCTGCTAGAGGCCGGTGCCACGTCACAGGAAGGCTGCAGGAGTCCTCAGCCTTGACGCTGCCTGCTCCTTGGCTCCCCAGCCACACCATGAGGTGAGGTTGAGGCAGGTGGCCCAGTCTCTGCCACCTCAGCACCCCCCAGGCCAGACAACACCTTAAGTCCCAGGATGGGCCCTGCCCCGACCACCTCCAGCCCTCACCATCAGCAGCTTCTCCTCCCACTCCTCCTGTGGCAGGGTCTCTTCCGTGTGCTCTGAAATGACAGCCGCGCAGGCCAGTGGGGCTCAGAGCCCAGCACGTGCCCTGGAGCTGGGGATGCTCAGCACAGACAGGCCTCACCACCCCCCCGTCCCCGCCTGCTCCCGGGAAGCACCCTGCGGAAGTGCTTTTCCAGTCCCAGGTCAACTGGGGCCTTTCTTGGACCACAGGGGAGACTGCTTTTTCCAATTACACAACCCTAGTCCCCACTGGCCACCCTAGTGCCACCTGGCAAAGGTGGGGTCAGAGCTAGCATCTCCCTACCCTGAGGCCTGCCCTCCCCACAGGGCTATGCACCCCATCCCGACCCCGGCCTCACCATCCAGGTACCCCAGCAGCAGCGGGACAGTCGTCTCCCAATGCTGACCCAGCAAAGGGTGAATGTTAGGGTGCAGAACACTGAGGAGACGCAGTGCCGCCACCCCACGTCCGTCCCCCAGGTAGGGGCTGGAAGACACAACCTGAAGAGAGGCAGCGTGGAGCCGGGTCTGAGCAGGGAGCACTGGCCGTGCCCACAAACTGCACCTGCAGGGCCACAGCACCCGACGGGGGGTCTGGCTCTTCCTGAAGCTGGGCCCCCCACATAGAGGAAAACCACGCCTGAGCCCTGACTGCGGCTGCCCACTGAGAAGGTAACCCCTTCCAAGCCTGGGTGGAGCACAGGGACACAGAGTGGGGCACACGGGCACGCTGTGAAAGGGCAAGGCTCACCAACAGTCTTGCGGTTACAGCATAGGGAGACGGGAGGCTCGCTGGAGATGAGAGGTGGAAATAGTCAGGGGGGGGGTGGGGGTCAGGAACTGGAGGATGGGGAAGTGGGGACAGGAGCGGGGAGGTGGGGTACGGCGCGGCGCGCACCATGGGCGTCGTACTGGATGAGGAAGGCGTCTGCCCCGGCCTCCTGCCTCTTCTGCGCCAGATGCACGAGGCTCCTGCAGAGCGGAGTCAGGGCCCCAGTGAAGCGCACAGGGGTGAGGAATTGGAGCAGGTACGGCCAGAGAACCTGGGGGAGCGGAAGGCCTGGTCTGCATCCACCCAGAGGGAGGTCCCATGCAGAGAGGGCCCTGCCAGAGCTCTGAGGTGGAGACAGACTCTTTGCTGGGCCTGCACACCCTGGGCCACCGCCCTGGAGAGCTCTGCTGTCGCCAGGCAGGGACGGGTACCGTGCACTCACGTGACTCATCCTGTCCACGGTGGTGCTGACCAGGTAGAGGGTGCGCACGCTGATGGCCCGCACACTGTCGGCCCTGGGGTCCTTGCTGCTGGGGCCTGGCTTCTCAGGCTGGAGGAAGGCAAAAGGTAAAGGTGTGCATGGGCGGCCGTGGTTCTGGGCCTGAGGACACAGCCTGCCCGGAAGCAGGGTAGACCCTGGGCCTCACCGCAGGACATGCAGACGAGTGCACGACCTGCCACAGACAGGAAAGGCACTCTCCGCTAAGATCACCCCAGAAAGCAGGCTCACCTGCCTCAGTTCTCATCTCCAAAACAAACAAAACCTTGAGCATTTGCTAAGCTACTGACTCCATTAAAAAATAACTGCTCATGACGTTGCAACGCCTGCAGGGGAGGAACGGGATAGCCTCTGTGGGAACATAAACCATGTCAGAAAACCTGGTTCCCACCAAGACACCACCCAGCCTCGGCAGCCACAGTGGGTTGGATGCCTGCTGTCCTCTCTGTACGCTCAGCTACCTGGCAGGCGTCTTTGCAAGACGACGACTTCTGTTTCCCACACGTTCCATGCAGGTTTTGAAATACCAAAGAGTAAAAGCTCAACGACAAAGCGGCATATTTGGAAAAATGGCAACAGTGCAGGGACTTCTAATCCTTCTCTTTCAGAAGCCAAAAGCCACACAGAAAAAAAAAAATAGTGATATTTAGACCTTGAACTTCAATTTTTACAGTAGGCTCTAAAAATATAGATAGAACTTTATACCAAACATGCACAAACCACTTTGAAATCCTGACCATTAGGTCAAAAATAATACTGCAACCAACACTTAAAAGCAGAAATCAACCTGGCCAGATTCAATATAACAATAAATCCACAACAACCATGAACACCTATCGACCTGGAGATTTTAAAGATCATAAAAGAATCATTTGGGTTAATAAAGAAACCAAATAGAAATTGCAAAATACCCAATAACGAACATTGAGGACATACTCCAACTCCACCAGAAACATGAACCTTAGGGCACAGACCGGGGACAATGCTCATGTGAAAAAATGCCCCCAGAGTACCACAACAGGGAAACAAGGTACCACTACAGGGAAATGAGGAGACAAGAACAAGGAAAATCCCAGAGACAAGGTGTGAAAAAGTATAACCATGAAATAAATAATTCAATTCAGGAAATAAATAATGTAACGATTCACTGAGGAAGAAATTACTGACTTGGAAGAACAGGCTGCCGAAGGCTTCAAGGAAGAAGAAATTTAAAAAGAATGGAAAAAGAAAAAGCTGAAAGAGGTGAAGACAGCAGTGCTAGCCTTTGGATAACGGATACACCAGAGTCAGTGAGACACAAAAACAGGGGCAAGAAATACTCAAGAAATAAAGGAGCGAGCTTCCCAGAAACAAGAGACCAGTGGTTCATGGAAGGGACTGCAGAGCGGAGGCACGGGCAGCCCCGGGTGAGTTGGGATGCCATCCTGCGCCAGAAAGGGCAGTGGGGCCTCAGGACAGGGGCCTGTGCGCTCCAAGGGGTGCTACTGACCAAGTGTAGGACAGTTTGAACACCAAGGCCAGCAACAGGGACCGCACATGGACCCCTGTGTCAAACAGCAAACCACTAGTCCACACGGAGAGAGACGCATGCACATAAGAATAGGAGAGGCTTTGTCACAGCAGAGGCCAAATAATCAAGTACAGCAATATCACTGGAGTTAGAAAACCATCCATGGATGATAAAAACAACTGATGTTGACTAAGCATTTATTTATTTATTCATTTATTTTGAGATGGAGTCTCGCTCTGTCACCCAGGCTGGGTGCAGTGGGGTGATCTTGGCTCACTGCAACCTCCGCCTCCCGGGTTCAAGCAATTCTCCTGCCTCAGCCTCCTGAGTAGCTGGGATTACAGGTACCCACCACCATATCCGGCTAGTTTTTTTGTATTTTTAGGAGACAGGGTTTCACCATGTTGACCAGGCTGGTCTTGAATACCTGACCTCAAGTGATCCACCCACCTCAGCCTCCCAAAGTGCTGGGATTACAGGCGTGAACGCCGGCACGGGGCCTGATGCTGATTAATCACAAGATGTTTACTTAATCCCAAAGATCTCCCTACAAACTACTCATTTATTACAAGGCAGAAACAGCAACTTTCCAGTGCCGACACCGAGCACAGACAAGTAAGCAGAACAAACAAGATCAACACTGAAACAAACCAACACTAGGACCCCCGATATGATACATTGGTGGGGACACACAAAATTCCACGAGATTCCTCCCAAAACTGCATCACCTGGGTTAAATCATGAGGAAACACCATCATACCTGAGCTATTCAACAAAATAACTGGTCTTGATACTTTGAAAGCATCCAGGTCAACAAACACAAGGGCAGGAGGCTAACAGGGCACAGCAGCCACACAATGTATGTGTCTGGGCTGTACCCTGCGCCAGAAAGCAGCTAAAGGGACAGAACTGGGATGACCGAGGAAGTGCATGGATCAGGTGACATGATGGCCTCCATGTTGAATTTCCTGATTGCAACATCTGGACTATGGTTGTGCAGAACAAGGTCCTTATTCTTAGGAAATAAACAAGGCATTCAGTAGTCAGTGATAAAGGGACATAATGTCTCAAATTTTCTCTCAAATAAGTTGGAAGAAAACTGTGCATGTATGTACCTGTGTGTGTACAAATTACACAAATATCATACAAAGGCATAAGAAAAGCATACACCATAATCTCTTATAAATATAGACATGAAAATCCTCAACAAAATACCAGCAAACTGAAGACAACAATGTATAAAAATGATTGGCCGGGCGCGGTGGCTCAAGCCTGTAATCCCAGCACTTTGGGAAGCCGAGACGGGCGAATCACGAGGTCAGGAGATCGAGACCATCCTGGCTAACATGGTGAAACCCCGTCTCTACTAAAAAATACAAAAAGTAGCCGGGCGAGGTGGCAGGCACCTGTAGTCCCAGCTACTCGGGAGGCTGAGGCAAGAGGATGGCATAAACCCGGGAGGCGGAGCTTGCAGTGAGCTGAGATCGCGCCACTGCACTCCAGCCTGTGCGACAGAGCGTGACTCCGTCTCAAAAAAAAAAAAAAAAAAAAAAAAAATTGTACACCATGACCAAGAATGCGAGTTTAACATCTGAAAATCACCTAATGAAATATACTATATCACTAAAATAAAGAAAAAAAATGATAAGCTCATTTTAGACACAGTAAAAAGCACATCAAATCTAGTACTTCTTCATGACAAAAACATTCAGCAAAGCAGGACTAGAAAGTGGTATCCATGACCTGATGAAGGCCCACAGCAGGAATCACACCTGATGGTGCCGGCCTAAATACTTCTACACAAAGAGAAGGAACAAGACAAGGGTGCCTGCTCGCACCAATTTTATTCAACAGTATTGGACGTTCTAGCTGGGGCAGTTAAGCAAGAAAATTAAAAGGCATCCAGGTTGAAAAAAAGAAGTAAAACTATAGTTGTAGATGACACAATCCTTACAGAAAATCCTAAGAAATCCAATAAAAACTATTATAACTAATAAGCAAGTTCAACAAGGTTGTAGTATACAAGATCAATATGAAAGGATAATTGTAGGCCGGGCACAGTGGCTCATGCCTGTAATCCCAGCACTTTGGGAGGCCGAGATGGGCAGATTGCCTGAGCTCACGAGTTTGAGACCAGCCTAGCCAACATGGCGAAACCCTGTCTCTACTAAAATACAAAAACAAATCAGCTGGGCATGGTGGCAGGCACCTATAATCCCAGCTACGCAGGAGGCTGAGGCATGAGAACTGCTTGAACCCGGGAGGCAGAGGTCACAGGGAGCCGAGACTGTGCCATTGCACTCCAGCCTGGGCAACAAAGTGAAACTCTGTCTCAAAAAAAAAGAAAGAATAATTGTATTTCTATAGAGTAGCAAAGAATAAACTGAAAATGAAATTAAGAAAATAATTCAGACCGGGTGCAGTGGTTCACATCTGTGGTCCCAGCACTTAAGGAGGCCAAGGCGGGTAGATGGCTTGAGGTCAGGAGTTCAAGACCAGCCTGGTCAACATGGTGAAACCCCATCTCTACCAAAACAAGAAAAAACAAACAAAAAAACCCCCAAAATTAGCCAGGCATGTTGGTGGGCGCCTGTAATCCCAGCTACTCAGGAGGCTAAGACAGGAGAATTGCTTGAACTCGGGAAGTGGAGATTGCAATGAGCCGAGATTGTGCCACTGCACTCCAGCCTGGGAGACAGACCAAGATTCTATCTAAAAAAATAAAAATAAAAATAAAAAAAGGAAAATTCCATTTACAATAGCATCAAAAATAATAAAATATTTATGAATAAATCTAACAAAAGAAGTGCAAAACTCATACTCTGAAAACTACAAAACGTTAAAATAAAGACCTAAAAATATAGAAATACATCCCATGTTCACAGATACAAAGATTTTGATATTGTTAAGATGGAACTACTCCCCAAACACATACACAGATTCAGTGCCATCTCTATAAAAATTCCGGGTGACTTCTGTGCAAGAATTGACAAGCTGATCCTAAAACAAATTCACACGAGAATTCAAGGGACCCAAAATAGCCAAAATGATCTTGAAAAAAAACAAAGTTAGAGAACTTGTACTTCCCAATTTCAGAATTTTCTACAAAGCATCAATGTTCACAGCAGCATTATTCACAGGAGCCAGAAGGTGGCAGCACCCCAAGTGTCCAGGAAGGGACGAAAGGGTAAGCACTACGCTGTCTCCACACACGGAATACTGAGCCCTGAAGGAGGGAAATTCTGGCAGCGCTATACCATGGGAGAACATTTAGGTCCTTATGCTGAGTGGGAGAAGCCAGACACAAAAGGACAAATGCTGTTTACGTCCACTCACACGAAGTACCTTGAGTAGTGAAATTCATAAAGGTAAACAGTGGGGTGCAGGAGCTGAGCAGGAGGGAATGGGAGTTAGCATTTAATGGGGACAGTTTTTTGTTTTTTGTTTTTTTTTTTTTTTTGAGACGGAGTCTCGCTCTGTCGCCCAGGCTGGAGTGCAGTGGCGCGATCTCGGCTCACTGCAAGCTCCGCCTCCCGGGTTC